GCATCTTTTGGGATTTGCCGTACTGGAGTTCACTTCTTATCCGTCATAACCTTTGAGGAAGTTACAAGAAGGAGAGCAAGCAATCTTTTGGGTTCATGCACGTACATGTGACGTGAGCTCTCTATCCGTTCATAACCTTGAGATTATAAATATCATGCATAGAAAAAAAATTGTATTTGACAACTCTATTGTTGGGGGGGTTCAACAACTGCGTCATGAACATTGAGGGGGAAATCCAAGGATAATGCCCAAAAAGCGAGAGCAAGAACATGAAGGAAATTGTCGTCGCGATCCAGACACTGGAGCACTCTTGTATCTTAGAGCAATCTATACTTACTGGAAAGTTTCCAAAGGCATGTTATTCTTTAGATAAACCCCAAAGGCAAGTATTATGCGAATGGGTCCGATCATTAAGGTTTCCATATGGATACTGTTCAAATATGGGTAGATGTGTTGACATGAGGAAATACTGATTGTTTAGAATGAAAAGCCATGAATGTCATGTTTTCATGCAAAGATTGATTCCTGTGGCATTTCGAGAATTGTTGATAGGAAAAATTTAGGAAGCAATGACAGAATTGAGTCTCTTTTTTAAGGAATTGACGATGACTGTTATCCGATGCAATGATATGGACCAATTAGCGCGACATTACTATTTCCGGCATAGGCCTCGTAAGCTGGGAAGCTGAATATTGATAACAGATTCATTACTAATCTAGATCAAAGTGGTAACCTACTACCATTAGTTGCTAATGCTATCTACTGCATACTTTGTAAATGGTTTTTCACAAATTGAAGGGTTATGGGACAAGCAGAACGACAATGAACATGTGGTGTTTTGCAACTAAAGGGATCAAACTATAGTGATGAGTCAAATGATTTTTATTTTGGCAAATTGGTTGAGGTTGTTGGAGTTAGAAATATCATCCCTAACCAATCAAGTGCACATCTTATTCAACTATGAAAAATGGTTTGATCCTAACACCAAAACATTGGCATAAAGGTTTTCATTAATAAGTATAATCCATTTGTGGAATAATTAATCACAAGAAGAAAGATATAGGAAACACGAAAGTACGAAACCTTTTTGTGTTTGGAAGAGTTTTGCAATAGCAAATTAGCTGTCGCAGAGAGCCCATAACACAAAACCAAGTGCGAAAATCGGTCAATGAGGCAGTCACCGCCTAAGAATTTTGAATCACACTTGGCCTCTTAATGAATTGAGTCCCGCTCTGAGCAAACATTGGACCACATTCCCTCTCATGAACGATAGTGCACCAGGGAGCCAAATCCACCATACATGCTACGAGCGGCTTGACTCATTTACACTCCTTAGGAAGTACGCCCTTGAATAACCTTTACCAAGAGTTGATCTAATTGATCCTCAACTTAAAACCTAAGCTCCCTGAATAATCAGGATCATTTTTTTATACTCCTCCTCTTTTCTTTTCGAATATCCATCTGGACGGCCGAGAATTCACAATTCGAAACCTCTACTCACTTTCACCTCTATCTCCTTAATACTCTCAAATTACTTCACTAAGAACTGCAATCACGGGGGCACGCCCGATCTCCCATACCTCTAGCGGACGGATATATCTCATCAGAATACAACCAAATTACTATACGACGAAATTTATTTTTCTGTCTCAGCTTCTCTGTGGATGGGACTGCCTAGTCATCAGAGAAACGCTATCAAGAAACTTGGAATCAAATGGCATAACACGGCTTTACCTCACAAACCACATAAGGTAAAGTACCTCAATCCAACTTCAATCCAATTCCAACACAATCGCAGTGGAATATTTCTAGTCTCTGGAGATGCTGATAGATGTGAGAGAGAAGGCATCCCATCGTTAATGCAAGGGGTGGGCTTGTAAAAACAAGATTGGACACAAAGCACCACCAATTCACCTGTTAATCCAATGTAGGTTCAGCTTAATAATTCAAGTACAAGACATTTCAATACAATTAAATATCTACTATATATATATATAATACAAGTGCAGCACAATTAGACATTCAACATTTAGGGATACTACAAATGAAAAATATATAGCCCTGGACATTAGGCAAAGCCCTCTCATGGCATTATACCACATATATAACGCAACTTGCTACAAAATAATAAACAAAACTCATAAGACGAAGCGTTGCATAGAATGCAGCTTACGTTATGAAGAAATATACATGGTATATCACTCTATCTCCAAAGACAACTTATTAATGTGTTAATCTACATTTCTAAATAGCAAAATACCATTTCGTAGGGGATCCACTACACCATCTGTTGAAGTAGTGAAACAACTACAGCGATCTAGCCCACAAGGACAACACTGAGCAATTGAAAGAACTCAAACAAAATAGGGGACGGAGAGATATGCATGAAAATAGTAGACCATTTAAGGTAGCTCTATCTTAAATATTCAGGGTTAAAGAATTATATACCAAATAAGCCTCATTATACCGATTAACCATGCTTACAGATAATAATATTTCTAGCGCAACTAGCACTGAGCGAATTATACCCCTCCAAAGCACAGCGCAAACCTCCTCCTAACTATTTACCGCATTAACTAAGGAATATCACACCTCATAAGAAATGCTTGAATGACTATCACCATGTTCTATAGCTATATATGAAAATTATATTCAACGTACCATCACTATTAGAAAGTGGTTCAATACTACGGGCTAATATTCTACTTCTAACAACTAAATTTTGTATTATCCCGTTGGCTATAACCATTTTGTCATAAATTCTCGATCCTTTTTATTGAGGTGTTCTATAGCATTTATCTCAATCATATTCCACACATCTTTTTTATGTGTCATCTTTTATACGTTAAAGGCAATCAATCATATCAGCAAAACCTGTAATTCTTACATCCAATCGGCCCTTCAAACAACATGCCAAAGTATCACACCAATCTCTACATTTTTTTCCCACTGTTCATATGCAACCTTAATATCTAAAACTCCTAAACCAAATAATTAACGGAATCGCTAACATAAAATACTCGTAAACTAATACAAATAATCTTATTTTATTTATAAAAGACTCTCAAAATATTTTCTATTTATAATATATAAAGCATTAAACTGTACCTCATAAGAAGGCTTATAATCAAAAGGAGAGAATTGAATTGAATTAAGTACTCTATCTTAAATATATCAGGTTAAAGAATTATTCCAAATAAGCCTATTAACTTAACCATTAAATATATCTAGCCTAGATTCTAGCGAAATTCCGACAGAACCTCCCCTAAAATTAGATTAAACCACCTGCTTAAGACTACAGTTCAATAATAGATTCTCAAAGTCCATCCATCGGGCAATTCACAACAACTAATCCCGTTTGCTATAACCATTTTCATTAATCTAAACATTTACTCAATTCACACAGCCCATCCGTAAGGCAATCAATCAAATCATCCCATCGGCCTTAAACAACATTTATCAACCATCACACCCACGTATATGCACTTAATAATTCTAAATCCTAAACCAAATAATTAATCGCAATCGGCTAACATAAATACTGTAAACTAATCAAAATTTATTTATTTATAAAAGACTAAAATATTCTATTTATATATAAAGCTACTCAAATAATCTAATTTCTTATTATATAATTAAATCTACTTAAATATTCAACTAATGTAATATAAAGGCTAAAATATTCTAAATGTCTTGTATGGTTAATTTTCAAAATTAAGTATATTTATCTATTTGTTTGAAATCAAATTAAACAACTAAAGATTTTAAATTGCAATTATACCGAAAATTTTGGAATTGAGTCTTAGAGCGTACCAATCAAAAATCGAACGACAATTCCATGATCCGCGTGAAGAGGAGATGATTCTGCCTCTTGGGGTCCCGACGGAGACTCACCGGCCGGTTGCCGGACCGCCGCCGTCTATGGTGGCCAAAAAACCGTGGCTGCTCGGAATCGAGCGCTCTTCACACCATCTGACTCGGTTTTCTGTTAGGAGACCGTTTTTGGCTTTAGTTGCGAGAGATCAGCCTTCTATTCAATTAGAGCAGGCTCGACAGGAGCCAAGTGCCACCGTTAATGTCACCATTAACCGCCAAAAGACACTGTAGCTCACCTACGTTGCAGCTCTCGCAGGAGTCGCGAGCGAGTGGAGGGTCGATGTTGAGCAGTGGCTAGAGGCTAGTGGTGCTGTTGCGATTCACTCGAATGGAAACAGAGGGAGAGAGGGGCTGAGGCCCGACAATAGAGAGAAGGCAGTGCAAAGAACTCCATCACACTTATCTCCATGATTGAAAAAACAAGAGAAAGAGGGAGAGGAGGAGGTCGGCGACGGGACTGTCACTGGACCTAGAAAGAAGAAAGAAAGAATGAGAAGAGGAAAGAAAAATCTGGGCTTCTATACTATTCCGGCTCGATTCGAATCGGTTTGGTCCGACTCAATGATTTGACTCGATTTTTGCTTGGTTTACGAATTTTCCTTTGGATTTTCGGAAAATCCAAATTGGTTTACAGGTCTGGTTTAGCAGTAATAAAATATTTTCCGTTGAATTTCATTAGTTGGAATAAAAATTTATTTTTCAAATGAAAATTCTACGAAATTGAATTTTTGTCTACGAAATTGAATTTTGGGTCGTTTCATTTTAATAGAAAATATAATGGTTTAAAATAAATGCAAATTAAAATGTATGTTAGCTTTTTCTACAAAATTAAAAGTGACGAAATGTTGACAGTTTTTTTAAGAAAAAAAAAAAAAAAAAAACAGGTCGTGTGTGAAAATTAATGCCGATTCCGCCTATATTGTTAAGATTTTGCACCTCTCAACTAAAATTGCTATAAGAAAAAAAAAAAAAAAAAAAAAAAGGTCGTGTGTGAAATTATGCATTCCGCCTATATTTTTAAGAGTGCACTCTCAACTAAAAATTGCTATAAGTGATACTGTTTATAGTTTACTGTAGACTGCTTGTCGGTAACTGTTAATAACTAACCGCGGTCGTTAATCCTATACCTTATTTCGGACGAAAGTCATAGTCGGCAGGACGATCGCACAAGCAGGCACTTGCAAATCGACTCATGCCTATAAGTGCCGCAAAACACCTGATTAGGGACCGTGACGACTAGTCGTTTCATCGTTTTCCCTCTCTCCCGTCTCCCTGTTCAAAATCGGAACATCTTCTTCTCGATCTCAATCCCAAATCATTAACATAAACTGGAATTCCAATCTCTCTTTACACATACATGTAGTTGGGCACAATCTAGTAACTGCAACTTTGCAATTTCAGTTCCAAAATCTTGGAGCTAGTAGCAATTTTCGATCGGAGAAAGGAGAAATACAAAATAAAGAATGATAACTCGCTCTAAACTCGCGGAGCAACTCAGAGACTACCAGATCCGATCCCAGCACAAGTTTACAGCTCTCACCATCTTCTCCCCTAAACCTCACATTACTTCTCGGTAACTCTCTATTCGTCTTTGTTTTTTATTGTTTAATCTTTTTCTTTTTGGATTTGTATTTCTTGTAGGAGAATAATTGAAAAATCCCATGTTCTATAATTATTTGCTGCAATTGCTCTTTGTGTATTTACTTCAATAATGGGGTCTCTACCTGTTTGGCGCAAATATGAGTATATTATTTCCCAGAGGGATGATCGCCTTAAACTGTAAAGCACAGCACATTTGCCAACTACTGTCTTTCTTATGAATTAGGAAAGCTGAAGCAGCACACAGACTAAGGCTCTCTCGAATCAAACCCTTTTCAATAGTTCATCAACATGCCTTCTAAGTTCTTCATATTTTGTAGGATATGGTAGGCTGGTATATTAGGGAATATAGAACCTGGTACTAGATTAATAGCATGTTGAACATCTCTTAGAGGTGGTAATTAATTAGGCAAATCATCTCGAATGAGATCTGAAAAATCAGACAGCAGCTTCTTCACCTCATTAGGCAATTTGCTGTCTGCTATAGGGTTGTTTCTGCTACTCAACGAGTCACTAATGCAAAAAGGAAGCCCCCTTTTCTTTGGTGGCAGCTTCAGGTTCTTTTCATTAAGTATATGAAGTGACTTCTTTGTATCAGTCCTTGAATTGTTATCATTCCGAACTTGCTTATTGTATTCTTCCTACTTCAATGGGCTTTAGGTTATTTTGTTTCCATTGAGAAAAAGTGATGTGTTTTCTTTTCTACGATGGTATACATCATGATCATAGAGGCATGGTTGCCCAAGTAAAATATGTGATACTATCATGCAATTACATCATATCAAATGGAATCTCGATATGCCCCAATTCTGAATGAAGTCAAATATCTTAACTTGCCAGTATAGTGTTATCATCTAAGCAAGCTACCTCAAAAGGATGTAGATGTTTTTCTATGGCCAAATTTAGCTTCTTAATCCTTCTTACTGAAACCACTTTCATGCGTCTTCCTCCTTCAATTATAATTAGAAATAGTTCATCTCCGCATCTAACTTGTATGTGAAAAATTGCTGTACAAGCCTTTCTCGTTGTTTTCTGCTTTAGGAGTTGCTAACACATCTCAGACATCATTGAGGAAGGGAGGATCTATCAATTCATCACTGAATTCTTCATCCAAACATTACCAGTTTCATACTCAAACACATTCTTTTTAGTCCTTTCGCTTCCCTCTCCTATTACAGCATGCAGGTTTTTCTTAGGACATTCATATGCATAACAATGCCCAGTGTCATTGCATTTAAAAACTCTCATTTCGTTTCTGCTCCTTTGGTTTATTTTCATCTCATTGAGACTTTTGGTTAACATTTCAAGCTGTATTGAAAGTTATAGCTGTTGCTTTTGTTGTTTGACTACTTGAACTTCCAAATTCAAAGCTTACTAGTTTCTGCTCATACTTTTCCACCTTCGAATTTGAGAAGTATCCTACTAGCTGACTCTTTTTCATGAGCTTCTTTTGGATTTCAGAATTTCACTTTCAGCCCTTAACCCATTTTTATAACGAGAAATAGATTGCTTTTCGTCTTATCTGCTTTGCAGTATACACGTAATACATCTTCTGTATACCCTGCGACATTCATAGAGTTGTGAGCTGATCAGAAAGATTCTCTTGATATCCTTAAGTAAATACCTTTTTTTTTTTTTTTAAATTTCCCACTCTGCAATTGGTGGCTTTCCTGCTTGTTTAATAGATCCGCTACACTCCACCACACCTTATCATGCCTATTTAGCTTCATCTTTGCAAAGCACCCTCCTATTTCTAGACATCCTATGCCAGTTAAAATAATCATCCATATCAGCAATTCAAATTAAAAGCATAAATTGCGGAAAATCCATAGCTCACTCTTATCAAGAATTCTCACTTTCTGGGCTTAGAATTGCATCACACAACTCAAATTAAAAGCAAATGTTGCAGAATTTATTTTTTGCTGAAATCTGTAAATAAAGCGTCACAAGATGGGTATTTGTAGACTTAAAAGAAAGTATTCCTAAACCTATACTTGAACCCATATTCCATGTAAAATATTTACGGGACTCCTCATTTGACTGGTATAATAAAACTTAGCACTCCTTATTTATTTGACTCCTATATTGACGAGGATAATTCAAAATAAAAGTAAAACTAAGACTCACAAATTAGCTCCCAAACTTGACACAATTGATAAAATGCCTTTGCTCAGAAATTAGTACCCAAAATTGACCAAGATACTGATGCCCCTGCTGAATCTGCAAGGGGAGCAGAGCTGCAGAAATTGTTAATCCAATTCTCTTAAGGAATCCCTAATATCACTATCCCACCAAATCAATGTTTGAGTCTGGTAAATTTTCCCTTTCATATTGCTTCCTTATGTTATTTTGCTTCTTAGTTGCTCTTAGCTATGATTTCTAGTAACATGGCTTTTTTTTTTTTTTTTTTCAGAGTGCAGAAATTGTTAATTGAGCAATTCTCTTAAGGAATCCCTAATATCACTATCCACCAAATCATGTTTGGAGTCTGGATTAAATTTTCCTTTCAATAGTGCTTCGCTATATATGTTATTTTTGGGCTTCTTAGTTGCTCTTAGCTATGATTTCTAGTAACAATGTGCCTGCTATGCATCTAGCTTTTTGTTTTTGTTTTTGTTTTTTTTTTTATTAAAATTCTAAACTTTCAAACAAAAGTAACCTAACATGTCTTTTTTTTTTTTTTTTTTATTAAATTCTAACTTTCAAACAAAGTAATATCCAGCCTAAATAGCCTGTTCTAATCTGGCACCAAGAACGTAACGTTACACCTACTTCATGATGTGGCTATATATAAAGAAACTATTCCTGTAAAATAGTTAGTTATGCACTCTGAATTTCCTAAAAAGAGGTGTTGGAGAATATTTAAATAAATAACTAAAAAGAATATATTGGTTGTGTTAAGAATCATGCTTAAAAATGGATATTGTTTCACAAATTCAAGTTATCTAAATTGAAAAATATCAAAAAGTTCTCCAACAACCAAACCAAAAAGTGGAATCCTATTACATAATTTACATTCGTTGTCAATTCCAAAGGAAAAGAAGCATGACCTTTGTGTTTTCCATTGGGAAGGTCATTTCTATTGTAATAGTAAAACTTGGAAAACTACTAAATTGTCCAATTTTTCATTTGTAACTTTGAAATTCTGAAAACTGGTTCAGCTTCGATTCAGAAAAATGTCATGTTTGAACTTAAAACTTCATTTTCTAGTTTTGTGAGAACAAATTTCTCAAATTCTCTATAAAACATGAACTTGGTTTTCTAAGTTTGCCAGGTCTCAGTTATATATATTATTCATACTGCAAGATAATGATAATGACAATGATATTCTTGAACAGCAAAATTTGCCTCTTGTATTGATAAAGATGTTTGGTACTGTAGATTATAGCTAATCAATTCATGTCGTCTAGATAGTTGTTATGGAGAGGGAGAGACTTGAGGTGGCTGGTAAGGGTATCTGTTGACAGTAAGGAGAAGAAAGAACTGAAGTTTTCCATTGTTTCTTTCTTGAATTGAAGAATTTCATCAAACCTATGTCTGAATTGGAATTTACAGAAGAGGAAAATATAAATAAGTCCTAAATTAATTCTCAAAGATACAGAAAATCACACAAGTCAATGGTATCACATCTTTGAGAGCTCAGGGGACTACTTTATTTGGAAATTAGTAGAGCATTAAATTGATCGCTGAGTTAAATCTGGTTCAGTTATGCTAGTTTTGTTAGATTACTTCTGCTGAGTGCTGACCCATGATCTATGTAATAAGAAATTGGGGGGCATGATTCTCTGTAGCTTTTGCCTTATCTTTGCTAGAACTAACCTGTAATGCCAGTTTTGTTTTAATTTAGTGAGGGATTTGTGACAGCATCCTTATTTTGTTTCATTTGTAATGCTTCTTACTCAACTGCCTTTTATCACCCTCATCCTTTCTGCTACAGCCAAGGAGATTTGAATATCATCCGGACCTTTTCAGAATATATTTATCTTTGTAGTCTGACTACTTCCATGTTGTTTTGTTTTATTTGCACATGTAAAAAATATGCTATTAATTTCTTGCAGGGCTGATGTTGCTGTGGCTATCTTTTGGGCGTTAGTGTTTAGCATACTTGTCATATCATCCTGTGTGACCCTTTATTTCAGGCACTTTTGGTTTTCTTTTCTCATAACCTGCCTTGGGATTTTTCTTCTCACACGCTTGAGAAGTTCTAGGCAGGCACTGGCCTGGAAGAAGGAGAGAAGATTGTTATTACCTTTGTCCATGTGAACATGATTTAGCAATAGAGTACTTTGCCTATGTAGCTTGGTCATGATAATTAAATCGCATTCGAGTCCTGTGACTTACTTTAAAACAAACTCAAGTGCGGAGGGCTACTCTTGGTTAACCAGGACCCTTGCCTGGTCCTTTAGATATGTGGTACAATTTTTTTTTATCCCCCAACATAACAAATACACACAATCCTTGAGAATTTACCCAACACTTCTTTTCACATGTAAACACCTTACAATTGAGCAACATTAAGGAAGTTGTAGATTTATTAATCATTATAGTTAAAGAAAATCTATTTTAAAATCTCTTGCACATTGAGTTGTTATATAACCCTTTTATTGTAAAGTTTGAAACACAGACATGGCATGATGATTAGCTTTCTCTGTTCTTTTCTTTGAGTAAGTTATGGACCTAGATTTTGTCTGAACATGTGCATTTTACTTGATCCTAAGTTCAAAAAGATAAGATCACTATGGGGTGGGGTTGTGCTAGAGTCTGTTATTTGTTAGCTATGCACCAAGGGTTCAACCATGAATTTAAGTGGCTAAGGTCAAGTAATCTTTAATTGAATTCAGTCCAGATCTTGGTTGGCAAGTTGGGTTACCTGACTTGAACCAACCTGACCTATGCAATATAAAAGTTCGCCTTCTTAGTTTAAATTTTGTTTTGGTGTTTATGCATGTAATCAGAAACTATGGGTTCTTATTGTCATCCATTCTCACCGGAAGAAAGGTTACTATCAGTAGCTACAGTTGAATTTCCATTGTGGTAGTAAAACTGAAACTAATTTTTCTGTTGGGGAACAAGAAACAACATATGTAAACCACTGGATTTTCTAGTCATCAAATCTAACCAGATTGGATTTGCTACAGTTATCTTGTTCTACTGCAAATAATTACATGCCAATATTTGTTTTTTTCAAGTGTGTCAGATTTATTTATGAAAAACCAACGAGGACCGATGTTAGTTGTCCTCTCATTTTAGCTCCTCCAGTCTTGCTAAGATTTTTCTGGTGTTATTTCTTTCTTTATGGCATTAGAGTTGATCTGGAATTATTCGAAAATTTTGTTAACTGGATGTTGGGAGACTTGTTAGGTTTTCAATTAAATTGAATATTCCCTTCTTGTATAAAAGGAGGCTTTTATTATTATTATTATTATTATTATTATTATCATAGCTGTGCTTTATTATTTGTTTTATCTCTTACTTGGATGGTAATGCGACATCACCGGTTAACTTTTTTGTAGCCTATTAATTCCATATTTGTGCTTCTTATTTATGCTTTATTGATTCTAGAAAAAAGATACTTTGTACTTTCTTCACAACACAACATGATTGCAAAGTCATGCCCACTTTGATTGCATATTAAAATAAAAGAATTTGGTTAGGTTCCTGAAAATTTGACAATTACATGATCGGATAGAGTTTTATGGAGGTTTGGAAAATTAAAATTGCTTCTCCATTTCTATTATATTCAGAACTTAATATGACTTTTGTATTCATTGCCATTTTGTTCGAATAATGGAAGAGCGGGATTGCACTTGCAATTTTGAATATATTTATTTTCATCCTTAAAATGTTTGTTTCATTTTTATGGATCTATTGGACAAAAGTATTTTAAGTAATTTTTAGTGTTTTTGAATAAATGCTATTTTTTACGTTTTCAGTAACATATTTGAACTAGTTCTTAGATATCGAGATAGCGGCTATTTGTTTTACTATTTCCATTTCATAATATTTGTCATATTTGGAATTTCACATCTCTTAAGAAAACCATTAAATTTATTTAAGTTACAATAAATTATGGAGTAAATTAATTATATTATTCTTAATTTAATTCTAATTATCTAAGAAATTCATTAAATTAAAGTAATAATTATTAGTCATATATAAAGGGTAAGCATGGATAAAAAAATTTTATTACTCATTGAAACCATAAATGTGATAAATATTTTGGAACTAACTATTTTTTCAAATGTGACAAGTATCACAGAACAGAGAAAGTAATTAAGAGGTCCTTGTAATCAACTTTTGAAGTAGTAGGATTTATTACTTTTGAAGTAGTAAGATTTATTATTTTGTTTAAGTAATAAAATAACTCAATATTGGAAGTGTAAAGGTATTGGGACGATCAACCTTCATTATTAAGAAGGGTGTATTGGATTAGGACTATGTAAAATCCATAAAAATCCGATGATATTTAATTATGATTTTTTAAAAGTCTATATAAATTACACATCAAGATATACCCTAGTGACAAGTATATATAAAACCTGATAATAGATCGAAGTTTGAATCTCCCTTCCCCCAATACTCAAAAAAAAAAAAATCTATATAAATTTAATTGTATTCAAAAAATTGATGATTTGGATGAATTTCATAAAATTATTAATTTCATTAGATTTTAGAGTGCTAGGTATGAATAAAAGAGTTATTTACAGATCCATCCTGCAACTTAAAGTTTTGTTGAATGTTAGAGTGTTTTATATATGTAAAAATACTAACAAACAGAGAAAGTAATGAAGCAGGTCCTAATTGTAATTCACAAACTTAGGCGGGGGGGGTTTGAATGTAAAATTGAGGGATTACCACCTTAAGCCTGTGAGACGTAGTAAGATTTTAATTTATTTGTTTAGTACATAATAAAGATAGGCAATCATATCCATAAGGTAAAGATGAGTATACAATGGTAGCGTCGAAACGATACAAAATCTCCGATTCCACTAATTAAGAAGGGGTATTGGATATTAAACGGGACTTATGCTAAAATCTAAAAAATCCGGGGAGTAAGATATTTTAAGTCTATGATTTTTTTAAAAGTCTATTAAATTTACACATAAATCAAGATATGACCCTAAGTGACATATAGTTAAACCATGAATAAGACTAGATCGAGAGTTTGAATCTCTCCCTTCCCCCAATACTTCAAAAAAAAAAAAGAATCAGTATAATATTTAATTTGTATTCAACAAGATTGAATGATTTGATGAATTGCATAAAATATTAGATTCCATTAGATATTTAGGTGCCTAGGTATGGAAATAAAGAGTTATTTATCAGATCCATCCTGCAACTTTAAAGTTTGTGTTGAAATGTTAGAGTTTTTAATATATATATATATACTATATAATAATAGTTTATTTAAATTTTTATATATATTTTAATTTTCATTTTAAATTTAAGAAACATATATTTAAACCTGCGATTTTCTAGCAAGACGGTCGCCAGGGGTGTGCAAACTTATCGATCGAATCGAACCAAAAATCAAATCTACTCATTTCGATTTGGTTCGGTCAATAAAAAAAGGTTTGATTGTTGGTTTATTTAGTTTAAACCAAATTTATTATTTAGTTTAGTTGGTTTTATAGAAATCCATCGGTTGGGCTTAAAATTGAATCAAAATGGCAACACCGATCCAAATTGACCGAACTGATTGGTTCAGTTCAATTTGATTTAGTTCAAAAGGCAAATTCGGTTTGGTTCGGTTTGTTGATAAAAAAACTTCAATTGTATTTTTTGATCTTGATTCGGTTCGATTTAAATCAATCTGATCGTTAAATTGACTTTGTGACTATTATGGAGGGGTGGGATGGTCGACAACGACACTGGCTATTGCAAGCCTTTTACTATCCACATCGGCAAGGTTTTAAGAAGAAAATGATTTTGGAGAAGATGACTCGTTTTTTTATCCCTAATTATTTTTCAGTTTTTCAATTAGGCTTAAAAACCTTTTAATTTGTTCAATTAGGTCATGGAATTAATTTTGATTAGATATATAAAAATCATTGTAATTCTATCAAATCAATCGAAATCCATACAAAAAAGTTTCACTGATTTTATGTAAAATTTTAGTGGAATGTAGAAATCTTAGGAAATCTTTCAATTTCATCAAACTCAATAATTTTTTTAAAATTTAACACAATCTTAATTCAATACACATTCCTAAGTATCGAATATGTAAATTTCAATGAATCATAAATTCTAGGTGACGGGCAGAATTACCATCAATCTATAGGAAATTGCAGGTTGATGTTGAAAAAAGGGGAAGTAAAACAGATGAAAAGATAAGGAAGAAAAATAGAGAAAAAGATATTGGAAAGATAAAATCAGTGAACGATTTGATTTGATTGTATATTGATTGTTTAATTATCATACAAAAGGGGAAAAAAAAAACCCTATTTGTAGGCAACTAACTAAATCCTAACTAATTAGGAAATAAATTCCTAACTAAATCCTATTTTAATTTGCAACAACGCTTAACTTAATTTTAAAAAGGATATTTGTAACTGCTTATAATATTTTAATTGGGCCTATTTTTAGGACCACCAACTAGGAAGATGATTATTTGACTTTTAAATATTATGTATTAGTCCACAAAATAAAAATATGATATGTTAAGAATTTGTATAATAAAAATATCAATAGTCAATTTAACTAAATCGATGAATTTGTAAACATTACACTAGAAATACATTTAATTATATTCTATTCGAGTAAAATTCACTAAATAGAGGTTAAATAAGTTCACTATTGCCACCTTTAATAAAAATGAGATTATTTCATAACAATTTCTAAAGGAACTAAGCTGATATGTCCATTATTAACAACCTTAAAGAGATTAATGTATGATATAGTTGCAGCACAAGTTAAAATTATGATTTTATAATAGATAACAATTAAAAGATTTGGAGATATATATAGTAATAGTTGGCAGCACAAGTAAAATTATGATTGTTAATAATAGATAAAATTTAAAAGATTGTGGAGATATATAAGTTAGATTATAAATATATTGATATTATAGATATATAAATAAGAAAGCCAAAATGGCGGGAGGTGTGGGCGAGGTGAGAGTCATATCATAATTGAACTATAAGTAATACTATATATATATATATATATATATAAGCCAAAAGTTCAGTGGCATTAATCATCATATATCTTTAATAATACGAAATTTACAGTGAAAGTGTTTATTCTAAAGTTGCCTTTTGCTACTCAAAAGTAATGAAAAGGAAAAGGTTTGAAGAAAAGATCTTATATAACACCTGCGTGTCCATCTTTTTGTTGTGTCTATTTATCAGGATTATGATGGTGATTGAAGATTTATCCATTTCACATGTCAAAGCTACCATTTGAAAGAGCAAGTAAAGACTTTTTTTTTCTTGGGAGAACTAGGAGGTGTAATCTCTTTTAGGCCTATGAGCACAAAGGTATTTTGCCCTCCTGGCAAGCACGTTTCTTAACTATTGAATTTATCATCTCACTCTTATAGAAATTGAGATCACTTAAAATTGAAAGTACTGTACAAGATTGTATCTAGGAGTTTGGGTTTGGATGGTTTATCGAGACCTTGCCTCGGGTCCATGGGAGGAGCTCACCCGTGAGTATTTGGCGTTGATGGAGCAGTGGATGGATACGACACACACTTTCTATTTTCCATTTGGGGCGATGAGCATTACATCGGTGGACTTTGCTGCCATCACTGAATTACCATTCGAAGGGAGATCAATAGAGTTCAACAACAGGCTCCAATCTTTGGATTAGCCTGCTTTGCTGGACAGTCCATGTGCTGCTATTGGCATCGAGCCCACCATATAGCATGCGAGGACCCGATATGACAACATCTATTCTCAGTACCAGACCATGCCCCTAGAGGATTTGGAGGCTATGGAAGTGGATTTGATGGCATGAGCTTATCTGTTCTATCTGCTTGCGACCACTCATTTCATAAACCATGGGAACGATGTAGATGTAGCGTTACTACCCCTCTATAGGATCTGGGTATGACGCATCAGGCAAACTGGGTTGCTGCAGCCTTGTCCTACCTGTACTACGGGATGGACCGTTGTGTGAGAGGTAACCACATGACGATTGGCTACCACCAAGCTATAGAGGTAAAATGCAGACTTTGTCTCTTTTCTGTTTTCTGTCTCTTCTTTTTTCCTGTATGATTTTTGTTCTATTTTCCATTCTGTTTGATATGTTATGTAGATTTGCGCATGTGAGCATCGAGTCTTACCCATGCCTAGTCTTTCTGGGTTCGTCGAGGGTGTGACTGGTGTGACTTTGCCTTGTGGGCGTGCTTGGATGTATGCCAAGAAGCACTACAAAAAAAAACATGATTTTGTGACCGCCCCTTGTTGGTCGCAATATGGCGACGATGTTGCG